TTTCATAAGGCGTGCTCCATTTAGCCAGCTGGTAAGCACTAGAGGTGGGATTCGAGTAACAATTTTCGTAAGGCGTGATTGGTGTCACATGGGCTCCAGCCTGGTAAGCACTAGAGGTGGGATTTGTCGTAAGGCGTGCTCTTTAGCCAGCCTGGTAAGCACTAGAGGTTAGATTTTCGAGTAATAATTTTCGTAATCCGTGGTTGGTGGCACATGGCTCCAGCCTGCTAACCACTGGAGGTGGGATTTGTCGTAAGATTTTTCGTAAGGCGTATTTTTCGTTAGGCGTGCTCTATTTAGCCAGCCTGACAAGCACTAGAGGTGAGATTTTCGAACAATAATTTTTGTAAAGCATGATGGGTGGCACATGGGCTCCAGTCTGGTAAGCACTGGAGGTGGGATTTATCGTAAGATATTTTTTTCATAAGGCGTGTTCCATTTAGCCAGTCTGACCAGCACTAGAGGTGAGATTTTCGAGCAACAATTTTTGTAAAGCGTAATTGGTGGCACATGGGCTCCAGCCTGGTAGGCACTAGAGGTGAGATTTTTCGTAAGGCGTGCTCCATTTAGCCAGTCTGGTAAGCACTTCTAACGTGATTTTCTAGTAATAATTTTTGTAAAACGTGATTGGTGGCACATGGGCTCCAGCCTGGTAAGCACTAGAGCTGAGATTTTTCGTAAGACGTGCTTTGTTTAGTCAGCCTGGTAAGCACTTCTAGCGTGATTTTCGAGTAATAATTTTTGTAAAACGTGATTGGTGGCACATGGGCTCCAGCCTGATAAGCGCTAGAGGTGAGATTTTTCGTAAGACGTGTTCTATTTAGCCAGCCTGGTAAGCACATTGGTTCGGTGTGTTTTCAATTATGGATTACAAGTAGCAGGACATTGGTTCCATATATTAGCCACCGCCCCATTACCGTTGTTGCCTCCATTAATTAATTAAAAATCGATATTTTTTTTGAAATTAAAAAAACCATAAAAATACGAAACATATTTGATTTTGACAACAATTATTAAAGCAAATTATAATGATACTTATAACAATAATAATAATTTCAACTTCAACTGCTTCACCATTCTTTTACACCCTCTAACTATATATAACTATAAATGTACTTCTCTAAATTCATGATCTTCTCTTCACGAAAGCTCTAGCGCCCTTTGCTTATCTATATTTCTTTCTGTTAATTAAACTCTTTTCTTTGCTTTCCAAATGAAGGAGGTATATATGTATCTAAAACTGATCACGGAGCAGCGAAATTTTTTTGTGTATAGCGTCTGTTGTGTGTCAACTTAATGTTATCGGGATTGGTTGTTCAATGTATAGTTCAAATTTTCTGTGTTTTTGTCTAAAAGAAAAAACAAAATTAAAGATAACCCTTAATTCTATTTTATTTTTAATATGCAAAATTCTAATTTTAAATTTCTGGGCTCTTTGAGTTTAAATTGAATAAATAGGAGGTTTCAAACACACAAGAAATTGAATATATACAATTAATTTCTTTGTCCATAGAAACTCTCAAAAGGGTTTAATTAAAGTGAATTAACCCGTGACATTATATTAAGTAGTAGTGGATTCAGAAATTATTAGCAGCGCGGATCCAACCACTTTTTAAGTGGGTCAAGATCCACCCTTAATATTTTTTTTAAATATTAATATGTATAATTTATATATTTTGATCTATCTTAACAAAAATATTAATAAATAAAAATATTAATGTATAATTAATTTTTATTTTAGTTTATCTTACAGAAATTTATGGATTTATTACTGTTTATTAGAGTGACCCAAAATAAAATGTGATACCACATTTAAAATTGTCATACAAAGAAAAAAAATTACACATAAATATTTTAAAAAAAAATTTGAGAGTGGCCCACCCTCAATATGATCTAGATCCGCCCTTCTTGATTATATTTGTGATTAGTTGTAATGTAAGAGTTACAAATTACAAAAAAAAATTAATTGTTTATTTATTTAAATTATGAGAAATTAAGGTAAAATGGGAAATCAAATAGAAATTGAAGCACATGAACGCATGATAACAGCTCAAAAGAAAGACATGATAGTGATATGAGAAATAGGCACAACCATATAATATAAATTAAATTAAAATTTGCACGGTTTAAAGCACTAATAATATAAATGATAATGTAAATCAAATAATAATGCAATAATAATAATTTAAGAGTAATACTATATTTATAAATAAATTTTACAAAGATCTTCGTACGAAGTGGTATGATGGTATGATAAAATATAAATGGAAAAGTGAATTTAATGACTTTGATTTTTTATTTCACTATTCTATTTATTTTTTGTCACATTACTTTGTATAGAAATTTTTGTAAGATTTTATTGTATAAATATAGTATTATTGATAATTTAATTGACAAATGAAGTTACAACTAGACAGAGCGCAATTGCCTATGTTTTCTTCAAAGTGCTTCGCACACCATTCTTTTACACGTCTATATATACACTCTTTTAGTCTTTTATTCTTCATCGTCTCCTCACTACACTCACAAAAACCCTTCTCTTTGCTTATTCATCTATATTTCTTTCTGTTAATTATTCCCTTTTCTTTCCTTTCCAAATGGCCAGCGTTAAGGTATGTATCTATATATATATGATACATTATATCTGTAACTGATCATTGAGCAGCAAAATTCTTTTGTATGTAGCGTCTGTTTTGTGTCAACTTAATGTTATCAGGATTGGTTGTTCAATATATTTTTTATTAAGTTTTACTTTATTATATAGAGTAAATCAACCTTTTTCCACTCAAGGTTTGCCTTAATGACACTTTCCCACCAAAAAAGTTTCAAAATATGATATATCAATCTCTTAATTATTTGTTTTTGTGACATGTGTGATCACTAAAATTATGTCATCTGCACGCATGGTGATCCTGATAAGTTTTTCTAATGTTTAACTTGGTAAAAATGATCTTATATAATAAAAGAAAATAGGAAACTGCTGGCTGTGGTTTTTTGGTCGGGGTTGCCAGGACCATATTCATGCCTTTATGCAGTGTATAATCTAATGCAATAATTGATTTGCCTGATAGTCTTGCTGTAAGATTCACATGAGGATTTTGATTGTTTTCGTACGTTAAAATGTTTTGGATCTTGCAGGTTCAACCAGGTGCTACAACATTGCCCGAGGATGAGACACCTGAGGAGAGCAGGACTGTTGAGACAACTCCACAAGAGCCAATGGCAGCGCGAGAAGCCCAGAAAAGAGTAACTAAAGAACCGGTGAGAAAAACTCCTGAGTCCCCAGTTGCCAATAAACCCACTGTTAAATTGGGATTCAGTTGCAACTCTGAAATTCATTGTTGTAACATTGGTTGATATATTGAAATGGTGAAGCCAGCTGAGAAGACTGAAGTTGGTGTGGGGTTTGATGAAAGTTGTCAAGTTTTAATTAGCTTTTTATTCGTCCTAGTATTGTTTATTAATATTATTTTTTTTAAGGTGAGGGTCCGAGTGAGGTTGGGACTAGAGATAGTATTAAGAAATTATTGGAATTTGGACCACATACATGCGACGTGGCTAATTATATGATCAAGATTCAAGCCACATGGGATTGCTATTGTAAATGTGGTTCCAAGAGGGTCATTGTTTTGTTATTTTCATTTATTCCAAATACTCACTTTTAAATTAATTATATTTCCTTTATTTTAACAGTAAAAAGGCAAATTGGTCTTGCTTTGTTTTTTTTTTCCCTCTTCCCTTCCCATTTCTTCCCCAGTACGCCTCCTCCTCCCATCTTCTTCCTCTTCCCTTTCCCTTTCTTCCTTATCTCCGCCTCCTCCTCCCATCTTCTTCTTTTTCCCTCCACACCTCCTACTCCCCGGCGCCTCACCATCCAAACTCATTTTGAAGGTGAAAGAAATAATGAAAAATGAGGTTCGATCTCCATGGGAACAGGAAGGAAGAGGATATTTTTATAAGAGAATGCCAAAGAAGGAAAGTGCCCACCACGAAAGAAAAGAATTGAAGCCATTGCAGAATCCATCACATTGCAAGTTAAGAATCTTCCTTTAAAAGTTTCAAAACCACCTTCCGTGCATGACAGTGAATGATCCCCATGGAAATAGGTTGATTGTTTTGCTCATGTATCTTTCAGTAAGAACTTTTTCCTAGATCCGAAAGAGAGTACTTGGGTTCTCCCAATGAATAAAAAAATGTATCATGCAAAATTCGAACTGGGGTTCGCTGTGGTGGAGAAATTTGGTTGGAAAAAAGTGGGATTCTAATAGTAAGATATCTAATGAAACCGTTATTGGAATTGGGATCTCATTCAAAGAAAAAGATATTAAGTTTAGAGTTTCTTTTTATAGATTAGATAGAAGATCCAATCTGCAAGGATCATGATTGAGAATTATTTGATCTTCTTAAAAGGCATAACATAATCAACTTATATTCGGGACTACTATTCGAAAACCTCAATGAAAGACTAGATATGTTATCTTATGTTTGCTTTTTGCGAAAAAATATCAATTCGAAGTGGATGATTTCTTCAAACAACAATGAGTTTTGTCAACTATTCAATAAAATAGGACCAACTTAATTAGGATACTTTTACATAAAAATATCTTCATCTAAATAACAATATATTCATAATCGATAATATTACACTTACAAACTCTTCTTATTTTCTCTCACAAAACGCTACGTATAAATTCATAATTTGTTAACTCACAATAGATCCGTCTAACCAAACGTGAACTTATCAAGCTATTACATCAGTGTTTATTAAAAACATTTATTAACCTATCTTTACTCGCATACAATTTGTTTTATAGACCAAAGAACGGTGTCGTTTCCAAAGAAGAGACAACACTCGAGTACCAAAACGCGCCGTTTCTGGGCAATTTATTTTTACTACAAACGCATTAGCTCCCCTTGGCATCGAGTCTCCCGTCTCAGCAGTCGGCATTATCCTCCGAATCAAAACTCAACGAGAGATCGTGATCGTCAATCAAGAAACAATGGCGGAAGATCTGGTGCTCGACACGGCGATCAGAGACTGGGTTCTAATTCCTTTATCAGTAGTGATGGTACTCATCGGCATCCTCCGCTACTTCGTCTCTAAACTCATGCGCTCCTCTCAAGTTCCCGATCCCAAAATCGTCAAAGAAGGGCAAGCCCTCTCTTAATTCAATTTTTCAATATGTCCTTTCTGTTTTATCAATTTTATTATTGTTTATTCTCTCTCTGTTTTTTTTTATATAAAAAAAATAGTCAGGTGATTCTTAGGGCGCGCAATTTACGTGCCGGCGCCAATTTCATCCCTGCCAAGTCGTTTCGTGCTCGTAGGGTTTATTTCAGTAACGAGGTTTGTTCCCTATTTTGAATTTGAATAATTTAGTTCTTAGTTAGTTAGTTAATTCCGAGCAGTTTTTGAAATTTAATTTCGGTTTAGAAGAGTTATCGATAAGTATGATGATAAAATTGAGAATTTCATGGAGCTTAGCTGTAAGGCTGGTTTCTGATCAAAAGAAAAAAAAAAATTAAACTTTTAACTGTCTGGGTTGTGAAATTCTCCCATTTTATTATAACATCTTGCAGTTTTGTTGTTGTTGTTGTTGTTGATACGGGAATGTTTGTATGTTTGTTGCGTGGTGGTAGGAAAATGGGTTATTGTATGTTCCAAGAGGGCAGGCTCAAAATCCGCAAGCACAAATGTTTTCTGATCCCAACATGGCTATGGATATGATGAAGAAAAATCTGTCTATGATCATACCCCAGGTGAGTAATCAAATATCTTATTAACGTTTTTATGGTTTCTTTGCTATGATGGGATACTGACAGTTCTGTTTGTTATCTTTGTGCTGGCCAGACACTTACTTTTGCTTGGGTCAACTTTTTCTTCTCTGGGTTTGTTGCAGGTACGGTTCTCTATCTTGGTTACAAAATGTGGTTTTTTTGTGTGGCTTGTTGTTTGTTTAGTTTTTTTTTTTTTTTTGGTTGAGATGATAGTAGAATGTAGTGGTCTTACCTTTTTCTGTTTCCCAGAATTTGGTTGATTATGTGCCCCATACGATATCTCTGTGTTTTGCTTTAGACATTTACTATTTTGTTAATGTTACTTTATGTTATGTTGTAATATGTATCTGATGCTTCTTTTTATTCTTGTATATCTTCACAGCCAAGATACCATTCCCACTGACTCAGAGGTTCAGGTCAATGTTACAGAATGGGATTGACTTGAGCACTGTTGATGTTAGCTATGTCAGTAGTCGATCATGGTAATTTTCTGATGTTGGTGGATCAAGAAGTTAATTCATGAATTCCTTTTTCCATTTTGATCTGAGTCTGTGTTAATTGCTTGGGCACCTTTATGTTGATTGAATTTAATTATTGAAAACTGGTTTATTTTTATTTCAGGTATTTCCTCAATTTGTTTGGATTAAGGGGTTTGTTTAGCCTCATTCTTGGAGAAGAAAATGGTTAGTATTGATTCTATTAAATTTTAAACTTTGTGTGTTGTTATTTGCTTTAACTTGGGTCTCCATGTTGATTTTCTTCTTGCAATACTGCAAACACTGTAATCTTAATCTAGTTTTTCCGGCTCAGCAATAATTTAGTTACTGTTGAATATTACAAACTTACAGTATCATGCTCTTAATGCAGCTACTGATGATACACAGCGGATGATGCAAATGAGTGGGTTTGGTTTTGATCCCTCAAAGGTACAACTTTTACTGGGTTATTATTGAGTTTATTTTAAGGCTTAGTATGCTTTTCCCTTTTTTTGTTGTCTAATGTGATATCTCTCTGTATTGTGCTCGTCTTCAAGCTGTGCACTTAAGTTTGATGAGGAGTAGGTCTCCTTGATTGATATTTTGTGGACCCATAATTTTTTAATAATTAGTTACTTTTCAAGAAATACATGGACTGGACTTAACATTCTTGGGCTTTTTCATGCATATAACTTAAGTATAGTGTAAAGGTAGTAGTATACCCACCACAAACAGAAGAGATTGACTATGTAAGAAATTATTGGTTACACGCTAGTTTATAGCTGAATGGCTGTTGACGATATTAACTTTGTTAGGTTTATTTGGGAGGATTCTTTGTAATAGAGCAAGTCTCTTCAGAATGATGCCCTAGGGCATTGAGTGTTACTGTAAACTTGTGGAATCTTGCAGCAAGTAGTATGTACTTCTCTATGGAGAAGTTTTGAACCACTGCAGGGGTGGGCTTCTATTTTCTACTTCAGCTTATGCAAGAGCTTTATATCATATAATAAGCGGTTAATCGTATTTCTGAGACTGATTTACAAGCTCTTGTTCCGCTTATTCTCAACAGTGGAATTGGTGTAGGGTATCAAATGCTGTTATGTTTTTTTTTTCCTTTTGTTTGGTTGTGCCCCCAATCACTGTCAACTGATGAAACAAACAATTAATGTGGGTCAATTGCCTTTTGTTAGTCAACTATAGTATTTTATGATGTTGTTCTTCCCCTATGCACCTCATAACAGTTTTCTTGTTTCAGGTGGTACAGTTAGCAAAACAATTAATTTAAGATTATATTGAGGCAGGGCTTCTTTGATTGAAATGGGTTTTCAGATCTGTCTTAGAATTGTAGTAGCCATGAAGCATAGAAGTTCCTTGTTATGTTTAACAGGCCATTAATAAGATCATGCCAACTAAGCATTTGACTTTATAATATCAACTTTTTTGGGGAAGCATTTGCCATGAATGTGAGCTCCAAGTGTAGGGAGATGCTGGGAAAGGTGAGGCCTTATGTAGGAAAAGTGACTCCCTGAGGAGGAAATTTATGCTTTTGACTGTTCAAGCAGTCATCCTGTGAAAAGCGTAAAAGGCCTCTTGGCCAAGGAAATGGGGAGGTAGAGGCTGCTACTTGCTCACACAGTCCACTTGTTGTTGGGCCCTAGGGTTGCCAGTTCAGTAGTTGAGCTTTGTTTTTGAGAGATATAGGGGTCTAATATTGACCCGTGGATACAGGCTTGCTGATTAAGTTGTTTGGTGTTTAAAGTGCATGTTGTTTAAATATAAGCGAATATTGTAAAAAAGAGGCACAAAGAAATAGAATTGACATTATCAATGTGGGTTCATTAGAAGCTGAATCATGTATCTCTCTTGCCCATGTACATGCATAGTAACACACATTCACACACAAAAGTGCTTGGACATATATGCATTCACTCGGGTGCCTCTATTTTCTAACTGTATTAAAGACACCAACTTTATGTCATATTGTAATTGCCTAGCTATGGCCATAACTCCTCTTAACTGCCTGGTGAACAACATGGTTTCCTTCTAAGCAACTAATCATAGCTTATCCTCTATCATGTGTTCAACTTGATCGCTTAAGAAGTTCTTCATGCTTTGGAATTTTTATGTTCAGCTGTATCTTAATGGGGTCTCTGCTGATACTTTTCCATAGTTCTGACTGCTATTCTCCTGTTTTTATTTGATTGGGTAATACTCTGGAAATTGGGCATTCGACAGATGTGAATGTAACATTCTTTTAGAGGGGAAATCAATTGTGGGATGATTAAGCATGGATCTGATTGTTTATAAATTACACTGAACTTAGATACGTTGGATGGGAATATTTATTGGCATTGACTTGATTGTCATTTGGTATTTTGAGAACATAACAAAAAAGAAACTTGAATTTGAGAACTTGTTTGTCAGCTTATTTCATAGAATTATCTGCAAGTTGTTATTCCGCACCATGAATATCTCCTAAACCATGGGTGTTTTTTTTTTTTTCCCCTTGTCAGAGCTTGGGTGCTGAGAAAGACGGTCTTGACATCCTTCAGCATGAATGGGCTCTACCGAAATTTGAGCAGCGTGCTGAAACAGTTTTGAGAAATCTTGTTAGATGAACAGTCCTGAGTGGTCCTCAAATGAATTTTAATCCATTATCAATGGATCTATAGCAGTAGCTGTGGAGTCAGGCAAGACCTGATGCTTATAGTTACTGAAAGAAACCATTGTTGTAATTCTAAACTTACTTTCAAGTTTAATTAATATCACTGAAGAAATTTTCCAGATTGCTAGTTGTATCATCATGTTTTGTGAAATCGTACATCTTTTTATTTTTCCAGATTCCTCTGCAGTAAGTTTCTGATATACTTTAAGAGAAAAATTCTATTATACATGATGTTTTTTAAGATCATCGGACGATGATGAAAGGGCTATCGAAGATTCTATTTTGTTCAAATTCAATAGTAAGGACTTCCTGGACGAGATGTTGAATCCAGAATGAGTGAATGATTAATGAATTCGAAAGGTCGAATCCACTAGTATTGACTTTCTCGATTAGATATTGTATCAGAATCATAAAATGAAGTTCATCATATTTTTTCTTCTCTTAAAGGTAAATTCTTATGAAAGATTCAAAAGATGATAAGATTGATTGAATCATAGCTTTAGTTGGAATATATCAAACATTGATTGATGAGAGCGAGACCCCACTCCATGAGCAGTGTTTTAGAATTGAAATTGATTGCTAAATTCAAGCAGAAAAAAGAAAAAGTAAGCTGCCTTGCCTACCAAAAGAAAGAAAAATCATACAAGAAAGAAAGTGATTTGCCGAGTGGTCGCAGTACTTATACAACAAAAGCAAAATTGCCGCCATAAAAGCTTAAAATTTTCCATATAATTCATAGCAGACCAGACCAAACATTGATTATGACTTCTTTGTCTTGTGCTTAATGCTATTTAAAACCCTACCCTCTCATTTCAATCTCATTAATTTTCTCTCTTTTCTTTAGCTGTCTAAGTAGCATAATATTTTATATCATTAGAAATTTTATTTGTCACGTCAATTTAATAAACTGTTATGGTATATATATGTTATAGAACTTTCTACTCTCTTGAGCTAACTTTTGAGGATGAATTCTACCAAAACCTGTTTATTGTCACGTTTTCCTTGCTTTAATTTTGAATGAAAATAAATAATGTTTTTTATTTTTTTATGATTGGGGATATTCGGGTTAATTTGTGCGCATCTAAACTAATCCCTCAGGACCAATGTTTTAAAACTCGGCCCGGCTTGGCCAATTTAACCTGTTCAATTGGGATCGAAAGCTTCAACGAATCGGGTTTATATTTTTCCTATTCACCCAAAATCCTAGGATTTGGGAGGATGATCAGCAAACAATTGGTGGCCGGGATGTTGGGGCTTTTGAAGAGAAAGTGCCGATGAATGCAATAGTGGTGACGGAGTTGATTTTCGATGAGTAAATTGATCGAAAATCGATCGACTTTTGCCAACGATTGGCGAGGCTAACGGGGGTGGGGTGAGGTGGGTTTTGTTCGGGAGGAAGAGGGAAGTAATTTCTGGGTGATGGGGAGGATTGTCAACGCCGGTGTCAATGAGATCTGGCTTGGAATGCCAACACCGGCGTCGATGAGATCTGGCCTAGAATGCTAACACCGACATCGGTGAGATCTGGCCGAAATCGAACCTATTTGGCTAGATCTTGGGTATATTTTAAGGGGAATGGGCTCAAGGGACGATTAGGGTTGCATTTGGGGTGTTGCCGTCACCGACCGATTTGTATTTGAGGTGTGTTTGTCAAATTTCAAACCTATAGGGACTTAACTATAACTTTTAAAGATGTATTTGCTAAATTTTAGAAGTTGTTGTCAACGGGTCAACCCATGACCCAACCCTGGGTTGGGTTTTAAAACATTATTCAGGATCCTAAAACTATCGGCCAGATAAGAGCTTCAATGACTACCCTTATTAACAGTTAAGGTAAATTAAATTCATGACCTTTTGAATAATACACCTAAGAATCATAATTGATCACTCGATCACCCAGTAATGGTTATTGAGACTAGATGAGATGCATTCCTTGACAACACCGATGACCGCATGACGTCGTCCAGCACATAAGCTACAACAGGATCAAGACGACCGCAACAGTCGAAAAAATAAATAATGTTACCAACACAATTGCCCCCTTGAAAGAGTAATTACAACGAACCTGTCCCATGAATAAGACCATAAATCAACAAAACATTCCACCTCATCATCAGTGGATGCAGTTGATGGGCCAGGCAGGCCCAAGCTTTATCAACTTTTCCTAATAAAGAAAAAGTTATAAACTGTAAGCCATCTCCATCAGTAGCAATGTGCCCTAAACCTAAAAAATAATAAGTGTTAAAACTATTATAAGGACATGTCCTTGTCCCTGTTTTAGGGCATTCCACGTTCCATGTGTTAGCGTATCAAATCGACAATCCATTTGAGGAATGCACAGCTCAGCTAGACCAATCAAATATTGGGCCCATCTCACCGTCCAGTCTTTCCATCAACCTTTTAACTTTACAGACAGTATTAAGGTGCGGTAAAGTTTTTGATGGACACGCATGGCCAATTCTAGGATTAATTGTACAATTTTAAGTATAATAAATTATCTTAACACCTAATCATGATTAGTGCATACTTAATACTTTAATCTAAAAAAAACTATAAATTTGATTCTCTTCAATCCCACAAAATATAATATACATGGTATATATTCGCACCGGTTTGAATAGCAAATATAAAACAATTTACTCGGGAAAAAAATTTCATCGTCCCTTAAAAAATCAGCTTTTTTTTTTTATTTATGAAGAGTTTTTGATATTTTCAAGAATTTTTTTTTTTAAATTGTTCATTGGTGATTCTAATTTTTTATATAATTTAAGATTTTTTTTAATAAAAATAGAATTGAAAATAGTATAAATAGGCGTACAATTATAGTAAAGTGAGGATAATATGGATAAGCGTATGGTTTCATTTTTACTTCTGAGTATCCGAGATTTAAGTGAAGATTGTAATGATGAGTTGTTATACTAATTTTTTTTTTTTAGATACGTATAAACTGATCCGACGTTTGATTATTAAAAAAAAATTATTTTTTTCTTCTTAAAAATGACAAGATTAGTACATGAAGACACATAAATCTATAAATCATCATTTAAGTCCAAAATTTCAAGTTAACCTATGTATTATAATATTAATCCTGCTACCATAATGCCAACATCATCCTCGGATCTCTAATCCTAGTAAGTAAAATGACAAAGATGCCATTGTTATTTTGCATGAGTATGGAATTGCCTTAAGGGTAATTTTGTACATGCGTTTTGAGATTTTTTCTTTTTCGGTGGGCTGGGCTGGTAGTGAGTGAGGATATGATCAGAGAGACGACTAAGATCAAGCGTGGCAAATCAGACGGCTGGAAGTGGGTCCGGTGTCACGAGAGTCCTACCTGGAAATCATCTGAGGTGGGACCTACAAAAGGTGAATCTTTTAGAAAGGTGCGGTTTTCAAAGCATAGAGAGGCTGCCTGATTGATTTGGACTAAATCAAGGGTGGAAAGTCGTGCCACGTTCGCAATTTTCAAAATAGAGTGGGGCCTGATCAGTGTATTTTTGTGGTAATGATCGCAACTGGTGAGGCATGGGCCCCATTTTGCCACCGTCCTAGTACCGTTGTTACCTTTTGTTTGGCTGATAATCACCTCCATTAGTTGTTAATTAATTAATATATTATTTTGAAATTTAAAAAAAAAAAGTGAAAGGTCAAAAAAAACCTTAAAAATACAAAACGTATGATTTTGACCACAATAGTAAAAGTAACCCCTTTCATATAATTTTTGGGCTAAATTAATTTCTAATTTTTATTGTTAAATGAGGTGTTAGCCAACTGATGCGTATCTTAACTATTTTTCAAAAAAAGTTATCTTATAACAATTAATCGTCGTAGCTTTTTAAGTAAATCATAAATAATGGTATTATCTTTGTGTCGAAAAAGAAGTCAAATTTAGGTATTCGGGTTAGCTGATACACATATTAACTATTCCTTAGAGGAAGTCATCCCATAAAAATCCATTACCGCGTGGCTCTCCAGATAAATCATAGTTAAATATACTATTTTTGCGTCAAACAGGAAATCAAACTTGGTTCACCCTTACTGTTGGGCTACCCATAGGTGGGTTAATTTTTAATTTATTGGCTCTTTGAAACCGAAGAAATTGAATGAATAGGGGTTTTCAAATACACAATTAATTAGAGCAAGAAATTGAATAAATGTAATTAATTTCTTTGACTATAGAAACTCTCAAAAGGGTTTAATTAAAGTGAATTAATACATGACATTATATTTATAATTACTTGTAGGAGTTACAAAAAAAAAAAAAAAAAATTAATTGTTTATTTATTTAAATTATGAGAAATTAAGGTAAAATGGGAAATCAAATCGAAATTGAAGAACATGAACGCATGATAATAACAACTCAAAAGAAAGATATGATGGTGATACGAGAAATGGGCACAACCATATAATATAAATTAAATTAAAATTTCCGTAGATTAAAAAAGCACTAATAATATTTAATGATAATGTAAATCAAATAATAATGCAATAATAATAATTTAAGAGTAATACTATATTTATAAATAAATTTTACAAAGATCTTCGTACGAAGTGGTATGATGGTATGATAAAATATAAATGGAAAAGTGAATTTAATGACTTTGATTTTTTATTTCACTATTCTATTTATTTTTTGTCACATTACTTTGTATAGAAATTTTTGTAAGATTTTATTGTATAAATATAGTATTATTGATAATTTAATTGACAAATGAAGTTACAACTAGACAGAGCGCAATTGCCTATGTTTTCTTCAAAGTGCTTCGCACACCATTCTTTTACACGTCTATATAACCCTCTCTTGTTCACATCCTCCTCACTACACACTCACAGAAGCCCTAGCGCCCTTCCCTTTGCTTTTTCATCTATATTTCTTTCTGTTAATTTTACCCTTTTCTTTGCTTTCCAAATGGCCAGCGTTGAGGTATATATCTTATATATAATCGTATATCTGTAGCTGATCATGGAGCAGCGAAATTCTTTTGTATAATATTCCGTTTTGTGTCAACTTAATGTTATCAGGATCGGTCTTCAATATATAAGTTCAAGTTTTTTTTTATTAAGTTACTTTGATCGATCCTTTTAATGGTTTGTTTTGTTTCTGTAATATTTTTAGAAACTCATCCAGATCTATCTCTAATATGATAGATCAGTTCTCTTTTTTGTATTTGTGACATATCTGATCATCAAGATTATGTCATGGGCATGCATGGTGATCCTGATAAGTTTTTCTAATGTTTAACTTGGTAAAAATGATCTTATATAATAAAAGAAAATAGGAAACTGATTAAAAAATTGAACTAAAGGCGATCTAGCCAGCAACAGTGATCGATCAATCCATCTTCCAAGCTACCTAGATTTCAATAATTCTTGTGTATGCTCTTCTTGAATCTTCAGTCTTTTATTGCTTATATATATGTATAATCTAGTGCGATTTGGCTGATAATCTTGCTGTAAGTGTCATATGAGGGTTTTGATTATTTTCATACGTTAAAATGTTTTGGATCTTGCAGGTTCAACAAGCTGCTACAACATTGCCCGAGAATGAAACACCTGAGGTGACCAAGACTGTTGAGAAAACCCCAGAAGAGCCAGTGGCAGCACCACCAGCCTCGGAAAAAGTAACTGAAAAACCGGTGGAAGCAACTCCTGAGGCCCCAGTTGCCGAGGAATCCACTGTTACAAAGCCTGAAGCTGCTCCAGTTGAGGTTAAAACCAAGGAAGTTGTAGAAGAAGCTAAGGTTGAGGCTGAGCCAGCAGTGGAAGAGAAAGCAGAAGAGACTCAAGAAGTGAAACCTGAGGAGCCTGTTGTTGAGGAGACTAAAGAAGAGACCGCTAAAGCCGTGGTGGAAGAAAAGCCTGCAGCTCCGGTGGAGGAAGAAAAGCCAGCTGAGAAGGAGGAGAAGCCAGTTGAAGCCCCAAAGGAAGCAGCAACCACAGAAGTTCCAGTTGAGAAGACTGAAGAGTGAAGAATAGGTGGCAGTTTTAGCAAAGTTGGTGGGGGGCTTTATGCAAAGTTGGGAAGTTTTAATTAGCTTCAGATTCATCTTAGTCTTGTTTATTATGATTATTATTAATATTTACTATTATTAAGGTAAGGGTTTGAATGAGGTTTGGAGTATTATGGAATTGGGACTAGAGATAGTATTAAGAAATTATTGGTCCACATCAGCCAGTAGACATGCCACGTGGCTAATTATATGATCAAGCTACATGGGATTGCTATTGCAAATGTGGGTTCCAAGAGGGTCATTGTTTTGATATTTTGAAATGGTGTGATGAGCTGTGTGCATGTGAATCTCTAGGTTTGAATAATAATATTTTTATTTTTATTTTATGATATAAGTTGGCATTATTCTATGTTGAAAGCTATTGTTCTTAAACCTAGAAGGAATGTTTTTCATATTCTATATAAAATTGGTAAAAATATTATATATATTTTTTTGGGTGATTGTAATGGCTAGGCCAACTTGCAACCTTCCAGTTGCCACTCTTATTAATAACCGAGGATATCAAACTCAAGAGCTCTAGAATAATATATCCAAGAATTCCTATCACCCCACCTGACGGTGGTTAAATATGATAAAATTTTTTAAAGATTCTATAAAACTAACAGGGAGACGAACATTTTTCCACCCAAGGTTTGGCAAAACGACACTTTCTCACCCGTCAAAGTTTATTATATCATTCCAGGGAATCCATACTAAGCAAGAGTCAGATTTTATTGGCCAATCTGTACTTCTTAGCCCTAGTGAGGATCTGAGTTCAAGTAGAGCAGCTCGCTTGTTGGGTCAACTCAAGGTCTCAAGTTGCTAAAATGTAGACTCAAATAATAGCAACAATATAAAAATAACCGCTACTGCACTTTGCTGATCGACCATGGCTCATAATATAAATTTCCTCATATTCTTTCTCTCATACTTGAGTGCAATCTTTCAAGTACATTTGACAGAAAATGAAAATGAAATCTAACAAAATACAAAACACCCAAATGACAAAAACACATTTTTCACATACAATTAAAGACTCTCAATTCCTTTCTCTTAGAAAACAGAACTAAAAACTCTTACCTGAATGACAAGCTTTTTTTTGTTTCCGCGTGCTGTTTATTGTATCTCGTCCTAAATTTTCTTCTTCCTTGAAAAACACTTGTTTCTGACCAGTCTATGTGCTATCGTTTGCTTCTGTTCTCTCTTTTCTCTGTTTCTCTCTACCTCTGCTCTGCTCTCTCTCTCTCTCTCTCTCTCTCTCTTAATCCTTCGGTTTCTTTTGGTTGACGAAAAGAGAGAAACAATGATCTGCAAATAAAATAATATTTTAAAGAGATCAATTAAAAAAAGGTGGTCAAGACTCAAGAACAAAGAACAACTCTGAGTGGATTATCACTCTTTCCTCTCCTAACTCTTAACACAAACTTCTTATTCTAATTCTAAAATAGAGGCTTGATTTTTAAACACTAACTATTCTTTGTCTTCCTTAAAAAAAAAAAAAAAAAAACTTTTTGATCCTCAAAGTGGGTTTGGTTTGTTGATAAGAGCAAAAAGCAGTGGCTCGGTTATTGGTCTGAAAAAAGTGAGGGTGGTCCGACCCTGCCGATTTGGGTTTGACCTCTAGTAATCCCGCCCAAGCCAGCTAACTTCTTACTTTTATTATATATAATAAAACTTCCCTCTCTTTCCCTTATAATATTTAGCGATATTTTTGTCTTTTAATCAAATATTGACAAAAAACACTAACAGGGGTGGAAAAGTGTCATTTTGAAACTTGACGGGTGGAAAAGTGTTGTTTTGCCAAACCTTGAGTGGGAAAATGTTGTTCTCCCAAACTAATATTACATTTTGAATATGTGTCCTTTCGTGACACTAATCAAGGAGAAATAGACAAATAATTAAACAGGCTATCATCTTATTATATTCAATACACTATCTTAGACAGATTCCAATTTTTGCTTCAAAGCTACTTCTGCTGAGCCTATAAATATTTGCTTCTGCATGTTGATAAAGATTGAATCAATTTCTTCCATAGAAATTGCGGTGCTGAATTTAGTGGGTTTGGGATAGAGCGAGGAAAAGACTAAGGAGGTGTCAAATATGGAATATATAATAGCCACAACATATCATGAAAATGGTGCTAAAAACTAACGAGACAGGCAGAAACACACAAAACTCTTCGGTAGAAGCCCACAGCCACATCATTATAATTGCACGGCAAGTTTACATTAAGATAAAAGAAAAAGGGTGATCGAAGCTACAAAATTGGAAGTTTTTAGGGTCCTACATAGGAATGGAAGGTGATATGTACATAACATAACAGAACTGGGTCAAGCTTTGCATCATTTGTCCTGACATTGTCAACACCAGCTACTTGTTACAAGTATATGCGACATAATATTTATAGATACAAACATGCTTGATGGTCTGCAGTGCATTTTCGGATCCTATGTTGAGGAGTAAGTATTCGAAATATTGTAAACAGTTTAACATTTCAAACTCTAAGTGCAATAAAATATTTACAGTAGAGAGAAGAGGATCTTCAAGAAGAAATAAAAATGGAGGAAAATAGAGATCGAAAGCGTTACATCCGAGTAACAATTACACGAGAAGAGCAATTCGACCAAATCTACTGAGAAAATTAGCATAAGAAAGTTAAAAGAGTAGTGTGTGCAAGAGAAAGGAGAGAGAGGGAGAGAGAAAATGAAGCAATAATTTTTCTATGGATTTGGATGTCATTGCATACTGTGTACTTACAAGGCAATGGCTAGAAAAACCAACAGCTATTACTAGTAAAGGAAGTTCATAAAAGAAGAAAAATTAATTTTCCTTCTTTCGTTGCCTGCTGCTTTATTTAATACTATGCTATACCTATGCTTATGAACAGTTGACGACAAAAAAAAAAAAAAAAAAAAAGCAATGACATCACGAGCTTCACAACAGAAACACAATTTAACTAGACCAGCTTCTTACATAGTTTAATGACAAAACAGATGATGGTATCCTATAACTCTGTACAACCTCAATAGAAATCTATGTGCAGTGAGAGAAAACCTTTTTACCCCAGTGCAGATAAATACCAGTTAAGTGTTTCACCAAGTGCCAAAGCTGCAGCCCACATGGTCTTGCGTGATGATTCGAAGCCGATCTTGCATCATAACCATGGAGGGGTATGGTGGGAAACACAACCGGTAGAAGCAGGTGTGAGATGATGGAAGGCGATCACTGGGCTCTCCTGACTTGTAAATATGAAGCCGAGAAGCCAAACCACGGAAACCCTCAATTGGAAGATACTTCACCGAGGTCCAAAAGAAGAGTAGAACCTTTCTTTGGTCTGCTGACATTCCTCCAACAATCTGAAACATGTTTGAGCACATAATATCAAATTAATACATAATAATAATAAACACTGTTTTAGATCCATGGAAAACTGTCATCAAGTGGGAACAGACACTGCCATAAATATTACTACTCAAATCAGAATTTCCTCAGAGCAAAGTCAAGTCAAAGTCAACGCTCTAACTAGACTATTCAAAGTTTTGAGTTTCTGCCTTCAGTATGCTAATCAAAAGTAATATTTTGAGTTTTTGATTTTGCTGTGTTTCTTTTCTCATCTAGATATTAATAATTCAAGAATTGATTCATTTTCCCCTGCCCACTCATCAGCCAGGTCAAGCAACAGATTCATTATTATGGACTCTCCCAGATGGAGATCAATCAGTTGCCTACTCAAACCACATCCTTTATTAGAAATCTCATTTTCAAGTAGACCTTAAATATCCTATTTAGATACTTCACTTTTATCTGTGCTACAACACCAATTAAAATTTCCAATATAAAAAGGAAACAGGCATGCCATTGATCTAGTAATATAATATCCTAAATCGGTGCAGTAGTCCCATGTATGATAATGTTAGCTTCAAAGCAAAGAAAAACAAACATTAGTCTAAAGCATCTCAGCACAATTTGTAAACAATAACAATCATGTAATAGTAAAAATAGTGGAATTCATAAGAGGAACAAAAAACCATGAATAAATGGTCCAACCAAATTTCAAAATCCCAAACTTCATTATAGATCTAGTAAGAGACTTCATCAACACTCTTCATAGAAGTTTACTTAATTCTAATAAGAGCTTCATTCATATTTTCACAAGCAGCAGAAGATAAAAAAAAACCAAAAGAATTATTCTATAAAACCAACTTCTCATCTTCACCTGACCCCAAGTGCTTGGATACCAAGAATGAAAAACATTCTCCATAACTATAGAATGAAGCCATGCCACATAATGAATCAACAAAGCAAAGGGCATTAGAACCAAGGCAATCTTTGATACCAGGTTATAGGAATACAAAACAGATTAATCAGGTACTGTATGGGATGAGATAATCGACCTTAAAGAGCACCAACCAACATGAAAAATCAAACCAGAAAAGTGGCTTTTAAGGAAATTTTTTAAAAGTGAAGGCCAACTGAACTTAAAGCTCCTCATATCACAGAGGTTGAGAAATTGTAGACACACCTGAAAGAAAAGTGACCACATAAGTTGAAAAAAACAGCGGAACTCAGGTTTTTCTATTGATTGAGTTGAAACCTGGTCTACATATTAATATAGCATGGTTCCCTATGCAAAAACAAAAAGTAAGAAAAATAGCACAAAGAAGATAAAGAGTACATGATAGACCTCTGTGAAGTACATTTGCTTGTTCTTATAGAGCATATCCAATTCAAATGAACTTTGCATGAATAGTATAAATTTATCCCTAAAACATCTTGTCAATCACATAAAACAGGCTTCCAAGTTCTGTCTGTGATAAATGCCTTTGAAGGTTTCCCCAAGAGATAAATTCCCTTTGTATGAAGTTATCAAAAGAAAATATGGTCTTTAACAAAATAGAGGGATTCCAAAGAAGCTTCATATAATATTTCATTTGTTTTATTTAGTTTTTTTGATGGGAAAAATTAAAGCACCCTATTAAAAAGAAGAAAGAAAGTACAAAGGTGGATCTTTCCTCGGGTAATCATTTCTAAGGAATACCCTGCATTCAACTTTTTCACTCCATTAAAGGTGGAAAATGACAAGGAAATGCGTTTTTGGGAGGACAAAAGCCTTGGGGATTTTAGCTTTAATCAACTCTGCCCTCCTCATTACAGATTGACCCTCAGTAGAAGAGCCGCTGTTTATGACTCTTTTGACTCTACTTCCCACATGGAAGCTCTAACTTAAACTTCAGAAGGAATTTTTGGCAGAGAGAGATTGAAGAATTTAGTGATTTTACGGGGTTGCTTGACCATGTTGCATTAATAAGTCAAGAGAAAACAAAAGAAAATGGAAGCTCAACTCCTCAGGTTATACTTGCAAACCCCACTTACATGTTCTGTGATAAAATAAAAATTGTCCTGTTGATTTCTAACAGTATAATTCAGTTTGGAAAACAGAAGTTCCTCCAACGTTCAAGAGTTAGCATGGACTTTGGCTGAAGGAAAACTCACCACAGCAGAAACTATCCAATTAAAGTACCATTAAAATGTACTCCACTGACATGCTATGAACGAAAATGATGCAGAATCCTCTGACCATTTGTTACTGCATTGTCTGGTGGTTTATTTGTTATGGGCTAAACTTAATAGGGAAACTAATGTTGAGTGGATTACTCCTAAATCTTGCTCCAAATTAGTTACAGAAATTTTTTCTTTCTTTTGGAAAGAAGAAAAGGCCAAGACTCAGCGTATGTGCTTCTTGCTCTTTTGTGGGTGATTTGGAAAAAATAGAAGGACATTTGAAGACAAAGGAGGAGAAGAAATGAAGCTTTCTCAGACAAAATCAAGTTATTAGCATCTCTCCCAGCTTGTCTTAAAGATTTTGAAGAGACCTCTTTTTTCTTTATTCATCTAAATTGGCCAGGGGTTGTTAGTGGGTTCTGGTTGTGTTTTTGGGGCTATCCGAGCTATATTAATCATTCTTTTGTGTTTGTTCTTTTTGCACAGATTACACAAATTCATGAAAGTATATGTAAAACTTTAGACTCTAGATGGATGGATTCTTTTGTAGTGGTGGATACCTTACCACTATTTGCCTACTACAATAATGCATATCTTCATGCTCCCTATCAAAAACAAGGTCCCATGGTAAAGCACACCAAATTAGCTACCTCTAAACATTTATTAACAAATCTACACACAAATTTGCAATAAACTCATATTCTGTATAAAAATAATTCTTTTAATAGAAAAAGTAGGTTAACAAGAATAACACAGCACTCTGGATTTAATCCAATATTCATTTCTGTCAATAATGCAACTCTTTTTCTGTGCACCTTAAATTAGATTTTGTTGCTAATATCTAGTGGACAGTAAATCTTGGTTAATTCCCTTAATCAGAAATACTCTCAAACCCTACATGTATTGCCCTAAGCTTCTCAAACAAAATACACTCTAGATTTTTCCCTGCAGAAAAAGTTGATATTTCTAATCTTGCAGAAATTCCACTAACCATGTAAAAACTGCATGTTGTCCACGAAGGATGACCTGAACTTTCATGATATCCATCAAAATGATACAATAGCATCCAAGAAAACAACTAAACAAAAAGCATAATCATCCACATTTTACGAAGTTCCGAATGTTCATCGTGGAAGACACTATGATGTCATTAGAAAATATAACAGGTAACTAATGATATCCAGCATCTATAAGAAGATACCACTCATAACAACACCTGAAACCATAAAACTGGAGAAACATAAGTAATAAAAACTTCAACATTTTAGTTTCAGGAAGGGGCAGAAAACACTGTGTACAGGCTATTTACTAACAAAGCAGATTCAACCAAAAAACAGCTAGTGTATGCTATAATGCAGTATCCAAGTCGAGTTTTCAAAGAAATTAAGAATGGGAATGGAGGGTGTGGTGCAGATTTTAAATGAAGCCACATAAAGAGATTACCAATTATGAGGATAAAATCCTACAAGCATGTACCTTCCAGAACCAGACGATCTGAGGATCAGTTTCTTTGTAGCCATTGTATTCGGTATGAGCTTTCCAATCATCAACACATATGGCACTTTCACTTCCACACAGCATCCAATCAAGATCTTCAAGCTCCAAACTTTGAAAAAAGAACTTCTGGAGTCTCGGATTACAAAGAATGTCAGCAAAACCTTTTGCAAAATGAGTTGCCTGCTCAGAGATAGATGTGACAAATTGATGCCGAATAAGAAGATTAACATATTCCTCCCTGTTTTTGCTATTTACAACCATACATTTCCCACCGGGGCAAAGCTCCACTATTTTCCTGGATCCTAACTCCTCCACGTCTCTAACAAATGTCAGTCCTAAGGCATCTGAATCAATAAACTCGGCATCCATCTCCAAGATCTGCTTGCAGCTATCATACAAGCGTGGATCAGCATCCCGTATATCTTCCAAAGAAATATACTTCCCAGCCAATTGCAGAAAAAACACACGATCAAAGACAACACCCACTTGCACCTTATGCATCAATGCTAATGCAATTATTTATCCGACCTAGAGCTGAAATATCGAGGTGCATGGTCCACCTTAGATGCTGAATATAAAAAGCATAAGACAATATTTATGTTTTAGAGGAAATGTTTCTTCAAGTTATAATATTTGTGCAAATTCATATAATGCACATCAACTAAAAAATAGAAACTTGCAAATTTTGAATCGAAATGGCAGCCTGTCTGTGAAAAGGAAGTGTATTCAGAGTCAAAATGCTATCCAAAAATACATATGGTTTAGGCATGAGACCATTTAATTACTCTTACATGTACTGAATATGATTGTCTTTCAGTTTCGCATATCATAGTCATTGAACACAAATGCAGGTTGAGCTATACATCCTAAAACAAATATAAAATAACTGAAATATGCTTGATAGAAGCAAATACACTTATACTGCTGAACTTCCATTAGCTGATCCTGACTGTTTATATATATTTGATGCTTCACAATGTTCTCAAAAAAGCCTTCTCCGATCAACAAATTAAATACGTTTCAAAGCTTTCTTTGCTGAGATGTGCTTTGAGGGTCATAGATCAACATTAACAAAAGAAATCCAGCCTTCCTTGTCCAAAGACAACAGCTGAAGACAGACTTCAAAGACTCCAGATGAGTACTCATCAAGTTCATAAGGCCGCTCATTCCAAGCTGTACTTTTATTAGTACCTAATAATCTCAAATTACCCTCTAGTATTTCAGTACTATACAGCTGGCGACACCACCATCCACTGCAGTAGAGAAATGAAAAGACCCAAAAGAACTTCTGGAGCTCGGTACAGCAGGGTTAATACTATGAGTAACTTCTTAACTGGAAGGGTAAGGTTAAGGCTCAATTTAGCACAATATATGCTATTTTAAGCATCAAAGGCTTTTGGTCTGCCAAGAGATTGTGAGGCTCAAGGTTCCTATGCAAGATTCCATGCCCAAGCAGAAGCTGGAAAATCAAGGGTCTTAATATTTTTAAAACAACGGAGAGAGATTGAGAGAGCGAGGATTACTGATTGCATTCTAGAAGGATCCTGGAGCCCCTTTTACTATACTTCTACCCTGTCAGCCCTATACTATATTTTTCTTAACTTATGTAACTACTCAGTAAGATATGTTCATCTTGTTTTATCCTTGAAACAAGATTTGTTCTGTTTTATCTCCAAATTTTCTCTTTGACATTTACTATCAAATAAGGTACTTACTATGAGCAATGGCTTACCTCAAAAATTATAATTGGACATGGAAGATATATTTTGCAAAATCACTAGAAATTTTAGTAGACTTTACGTGTATAGTCATGATTGTGATTTTGCGGTTAAAATGTTCAACACTCGTTCCAGTGTTCAAAACTCAGTCATCATTAAAAGCAGTCAGTTGCTTTATTAAGATATTATACACATATCTGTCACACTAAACATTGTAATTTAAGATTTATTCCTCCTTCATTCAGTTTTTTTCTTCTGTGTTAAGATTCTGATGCATTACTTACTAGCTCTGCATTTAGTCATGCAGAGCATTTAGATTTGAGAGCTATGCTAATTTTAAAAAGGACAATTTCTTTGTGCATTCCTAACCTCTGTTAAATACTACACACTGTAGCCAGCTAAATATCAGTAATGATACAGGACTTAGTATACTTTCTCTTTTAACAAAACAACATTACTCCCCCTGAAGCCACCCACAGCCAACACCCCTCCCCTCCCCCCAGAAAAAAATAAAAAGAAAAAAACAATTTCCCCCCATCTCTATCCTGTCAACTATAAATACTTGCATCTTTTACATCCATCTGTGATATATCAATGTGAAATTTAATATCCATTGCCAAAGACAATTGGATTATGGTATAGATAATGAAATGTAGTTCTAATGGCAGGGATTCTATTTGAGAGCTAAAAAGGAAAAAAAATTAAAGAAAAAAAATGAAAGAAAATTCCATCATAGATTTTAGGTTCTCTCTTAGTCTAAATGTCAAGCACTCGCTCCAAATGGAGAAGGTGCTTGTGTTCATTCCTAATCAGGTGAAAGAAAAAATAGTATTTCTATATAACATTTGATACTATTAAAAGTTTAGCTAACAAATCACGGCAAGCCATTTGCACTTAAAAATTTTTGCTTGCAATGTCATATAATGACATCATCTATTAAATGGTTTGGGAACCCTGTAATGGATGCCTTAAAGGGGAAGGGTCCACTGTAATTTCCACACAAAGTGGGTATTGTGTGTCTACAGCGAAACTGATGTCATACAGCGAAAACTTGAGTGTCATTCAGCCGCAAAAGCATTATAAAGCTAAATAATAGCACCATCACTCCGACAAACACTCCTACACTTGCAATGTTGACATGTAACCCTAACCATGATGTAAAGCAAACAAGTTGTCCTTGATCTACATATACATACTGTCACAAAAATTACGTCACCTGAAAAACATTCCTAAACTCAAAGGTTGACATGTAACCCAAACCTTAATGTAAAGCAAAACTATGTCCTTGACCATTGTCATCAATACCATTATGCCTATGTACTATAGAAAATAGGCTCATAACATTTTGCCAGCAACTGAAACAGGCAAAAATAGTAAATCTGTTCAAGGAAACATGCATCAAAAGCCAACGGAAGCTACCAGGATAGGTAGAACCTTCTGCGATCATTAGGGCATGCCACAAAAAGAGCATTTTGTTGATTAAATAAGGCTTGGCATACCAAGAAAAACCATTCTCGCAGTACACCAGGACCAGTAGCTTCCTCATTTTGAATTCCATGAATAAACCACCGTGTAGTGCTTCAGGGTCTGCGTGCCTATGTACTCAAATGACTCAGCTACAAGTGAGACCTATCAATGAGCATCTCAAACAGTTCCTCATAGTCTCTTTTACCTCAGGAGCACATCATGATCAGATGCCTCCTAGATTCAAAATTCGTCACATCCTTATGCTCAAGAGCCACCGTGATCATCACTCCGCTTTGCATATCTAAGAACAGAGCACACAAAGGTGACTTTCTACGTCTCAAAACCTTCCAAAATTGCTCTTCAGTGCCCTGAAAGTTTAGATATGGCATATAATTCCTTCAATAGGTAAGATACTGCGACCATCCTGAGTAGTTAATTTCACCATCCCCACTACCTCTCACATTTAAACGCCTCCACTTTACCAAGCATTTATCCATTCTCATCAGTAGGTCGCGAAATATACCATGAAGATACTCAATCTCATCCCCATGAGACGGATGGTATATCCCCTCTTCGGCAATGGCACTGCAATAGACAGTAATTCCCACCTGCCCCAAGATCGCTTTACGTAAAGGACCAAAAACGCAGTAAAATCACGAACATCACTCCCCATGCCCCCACCTCAACACCATCCCTACTTGAAGTCAATCCCTGGACACCCTACCAGCCAATTCACTAACAAGGAAAAATATCTTGAATCACAACCAACCCCTTAACATCATCTCCATACTTTTTTCCTGCAAGACACCAATCTTTTCCCACAATGACCCACCAAATTCTCCAACAATGATCCCAATGTACTCCGGCATGCTAAATACAACGTATCCTCAGGAGTAAACTTCCTAAGCAATTTACAGAACTCTAGAACTATGGGTGCACATTGCGTTGTAAATTCTTGGGTAATGCATTTCTACAGGAATTCAGAAAATGCCTAATTGAACTATCAGCACATTCTTTGTTACCACTCATTGGTGACTATAAAGCATTACCAACGCAGCCGGAGCAGAAGAATACATAAATATTTGAAGATAACCATTGCTAATCATTATCATCTTTGGTGTCATTGCAAAAAACTCAGTCATTCGAGATTTTATGAGTTTTAATGAGGACTGTACCATTTCACCTTTACAAAGCCGACAAATACACCTACCATATCATCATCACTTGCCAAGCTTGTGGATGTTCCGTGCTTCGCATACGCCCTACCAGCTGTAACCCGGCGTCGTTTTGTATCGAACACTCCGCTAACGACTGTTCCCACTGCAACTGCTTTCCCCGGTAAATTAACCGTTCTCCATGACCGGGATCCCTCATCCTTGAATCCTCTCGTGAATTGACTTAACGGTGTCGTTTGAGTTAGCTTGAATAACTATAGTATTACCCTCCGATACATCCGAATAAAAAATTGAAGTCTAGACCTAGTTGTCGTTCTTGACTCAGCGGAACTGGTCTCGGCTGCATCCGACACGATTGGGCCACTCAAGTCGGAGGACTGATGGACGGCGTTAGGTTCGTCTTTTCGCATTCTCACGGATACGAGGTCAGATGTTTCCGCGTCGTCATCGCCACCGTCTAAGTTAGGGGCATAATCGTCCAACTTACGCTTCGGACGTGAGTGGACGGCGTGATCAAACGTTCAACGGAGACATTGAAGTGTGGGCCCCGCCGCCGCGTTCGGTGGCGGTGTGAGCATGAGATCGTATCTCTCACAGCCGCAGCTCAATCACAATAAAACCGAAAACCAAAACCAAAACCCTAGCAAGTATTTAATATGTTTATCACTCTCTCTTAATGGTTAAAGAAACATAGATGGAGTGAGGAGATTTTGTGCTCTCATACTTATACACATACAAATAAACAGCCGTCATCACCTAAGACTGTCATCTTACCTATTAATGAGTTTATTTTTTTAATTATTTATTTACATATACTGTGAATTTACCAAAATGGGGCTTCTGGTGCACGGCCTCGCGGGGTGAGCACATGAATTTTCATGACCTATTTCATATTAATCAAGCGAAACTGCGTGCTTATTTACACGTGTTTATGACAGCTTTCAGTAAGTACACAGAGATGACTTTGTCTATAGCCGGAAAAAATATATAGAGGTAAAGCTATTGTTATAAATTCTCCCACCATAGATTTTGTATAAATTGACTTCACACAGTATCACGCGATATAAGACTCATATAATATTCGTGACGTTAAATATATATTTTCAATACCATATAGTATTCATGTAACTTATCACACAGTTTGTACAAACTC